AAAATATTCATTAAGGGAAGGACAGGTCTATTCAATAAATGATGCTGGAGAAAGTGGATATCCATTTGCAGAAGAATGAAACTAGAGACCCCTCTCTCACTATATACAAAAAACAACTCAAAATGAATTAGAGACTTAAATATAAGACCTGAAACTATGAAACTACTAGAAGAAAACATAGGAGAAATGCTTCAGGACATTGTTCTGGGAGAAGACTTACATTGTATAAGACCTCGAAAGCACAGGCAACGAAAGCAAAAATAGACAAATGGGATTATATCATACCACAAAGCTTCTGCACAGTAAAGGAAACAATCAACAGAGTGAACAGACAACCTGTAGAATGGGAGAAAATATCTGCAAGCTATTCATCCAACAAGGGATTAATACCTCTAATATGTAAGAAACTCAACAGCAGAGAAAAAATAACTATAATAATCTGGTCAAAAAATGTGCAAATGAGCTGAACAGACATTTCTCAGAAGAAGATATACAAATAGCCAACAAGTATATGAAAAAGTCTTCATCACTAGTCATCAGGGAAATGCAAATCAAAACCACGATGAGATATCATTAACTCACTCTAGTTAGATTGGCTATTAACAAAAAGAAAATAACAAATGCTGACAAGGATTTAGAGAAAGGAGAACTCATATGCTATTGGTAGAAATGTAAATTAGTACAGCCATGGAAAACAGTACAGACGTTCCTGAAAATAGAACTATTATTTGATCCAGCAACCCCACTACTAGGTATATATATCAGAAAAAAAAAAAAAAGGACATCAGTATATCAAAGAGATACTTGTACTCCCATGTTTATTGCTGCACTATTCACAATAGCCAAGATATGGAATCAACCTAAGTGTCCATCAACGGATGAAGGGATAAAGAAAATGTGGTGTGTACACACACACACACACACACACACACTGGAATAATACTCAGCCACAAAAAAAAAAAAAAAAAAGAATAAAACCCTGTCATTTGCAGCAACACAGATGAGCTGGAGGGCATTATGTTAAGAGAAATAAGCCAGAAACAGAATGAGAAATACCACATGTGCTCACCCATATGTGGGAGCTAAGAAAGTTGACTACACAGAAGGAGACAGCAGAATGATGGTTATCAGAGACTAGGAAGGGCAGGGGAAGAAGAGACAGGAAGAGGTTGGTTAAAAGACACAAAATTACAGCTAGATAGTAAGAATAAGATCTAGTGTTCTTTTTTTTTTTTTCCTTTTTGTCTTTTTTTTTCGTGTCCAGCAACGGATCGCAACCCTCAGTGTCGCGCCCGTACCAGACCAGGACCGGTAACAGGATCGCAACCCTCAGTGTTGCTCCCACACCTCGCTCAGCCAGTGAGCGGGAACCGGTCTGTATGTGGGATCCGAACCCTTGGCGGGAGCGCCACCGCGCTCCCAAGCGGCGCACTGTAGCAGTGCGCCACTGGGCCGGCCCAAGATCTAGTGTTCTATAGCCCTGTAGGGTGGCTATAATCAACAACAATTTATTGTATACTTTCAATTAGGATTTTGAATGTTCCCAACACAACAAAAAAAGATAAACATTTGAGGTGATGGATATGTGACTGACCTGATCTAATAATTACACACTGTATGCACATATTGAAATATCACACAGTACCCCATAAATATACAATTATTATGTGTCAATAAAATATTTTTTAAAAATCCATCATGACCAATTTGGATTTATTTCAGGAAATGTACAGTTGGCTCAGTACTATGAAATCTACTAATAAAATTCACCACATTAATAGATTAAAGAAGCAAAAGCATTATCTCAGATAATGGGAAGAAAAGGATTTGATAAACCCAACTACAATGTATGATGTCTTTTGGTGGCTGGCTGGTATGGGGATCCAAACACTAGACCCTAGTATAATAACACCGCACTCTAAACAACTGAGCTAACTGGCCAGCCCCACTTATGATTTTAAAACTAAGAGCAAGGCTCCTTCCATGAGGTAAAAGCCAAGCATAGAAAAGCAACCAATTTGCTGACAATGACCTAGTACTGGAGACAGTAATAAACTGTCTTCTGAAGCCATTATCCCTACGGATTTGCTGTCACTTGCAGATATATCTAAGCCTAACATCTACAATGCCAGAAATCATAACTCGATTTTGCCTACTGGCTAAGACAAGACCAACATTTCAAAATTTTTCCTAGAGCCCCTTACTCATCATTTAATTTCCCCACACACACAGGGTTGTGCTCGAGTTACCCTCAACACACTGGGTCAGCCTACCAGACCCGCCTCCTGCCCAGAAGCCCATCTGCCCCTCAGGTTGATTCACTCTGCGGAGCCGGGACCTAGAGAGCATTGGCACCTCCAAGGGGAACATGCAGGAGCTAAGTGAGACCCACTGCCTGGAAGAGGCATTCCAAACCAATGGGATCAAGGTCAAAGACAAGAAGATAAACTGACACCAACTAGAGGTGACTCAGGATCCACACTCTGTGACCAAGTGGCATGAGGGGTCAGCTCTACAAGGACTGTGGCAAGTGGTAAGAAAAAAAATAACCAAAGGTCTTGTAGCAGACTATTTTCTATCAAAAAAAAAAAGTAAAAAGGAGGTTATGATATCCCTTGTTTTCCAGATAGGATAAGCACAACTACTGAAAAGAACAATCAAAGAGAAGTATCTCAAAATGACTACTTCAGTTGAAAACTAATTTTCTCTTTTTGTGTTCTGTAATCTATAAATACTTTTGCTTTAACAATCCTGGTTTTTTTTGTTTTTTTTTTTTGCACACACAGGAGATGTCAAAATTTCTAAGTGCATTTACTGGAGCAATCAAGATGCAAAACAAAATATTTCAAACAATAAGAAAATTCAACTTTAAACACATACCAAGTATTACAGCAACAACAAAAAATACGATAACTAAGAATAAATCCAATAAAACATACACAATACCCTTTATGGGGAAAATTTTAAAACTTCATTGAAAGGCATTAAAAATGCCCTAAAAAATGGGAAACTAGCATATTCATAAAAATGAAGACTAGATCTCATAAAAATGTCAATTCTCCAAAACTGATTCTGTAGAATTTCAATCATAAAATAAAAAGACTTTAAAAACAAAAAAGAGACAAGAAAAAAAGAACTTGGCAAACTGATCCTGTGATTTATGTGAAGGAGCAAAGAGTCAGACCCCCCAGTCAACTGTGAAGAGGAGAAAAAAGCGGGGCGTGAACTACCTACCGAAGAGTAATACATTTTAAAGCTAATTTAATTAGCAGGGTGTGGTATTAAGGGAAGGCAACCTAAACACTGGGACAAAGTAGAGAACAGAAAACGGATCTGTGAAAAGGTGACAATGATATAAAACAGAAGTGACACTGCAAATACGGGAGACAAGCTAGAGTCTACAAATGGTGCTGGGTCTAACGGATCACCACATGAGAAAATTAAACTGATTCCTACCTCGTACCATACAAAAGCATCAATTATAGATGGATTAAACACAGAGGTGTGAAAAGCAAAACTTTTAGATGAAAATATTGGAGAACATCTCTATGATGTAAGTGCAGAAAAAGAATTCTTAAGTGAAACATACCAGTGCTACCCATAAAAGAAATGATTGATAAGTTCAACTACACTAAAATTAAGAACTTCTGATCATCAACAGCCACCAAGAAGAAAGTGAAAAACAAACCACAGACTGAAAGATATTTGCAACATACAAACTGACAACAAATTAGGATCTCTAACACGTAAAGATCAACGACCAATAAAGAATTAGATCAACAACCCAAAAGAAAAATGCGAGGGCCAGCCTGTGGCTCACCTTGGAGAGCGTGGTGCTGACAACACCAAGTCAAGGGTTAAGATCCCCTTACCAGTCATCTTTAAAAAATATATATATATATATAAAAAAAAAAAAAGGCAAAAATAGAAACAAGTATTTCCCAGAAGGGGGAACACAGAAGATGTCCATAAATAGATGAAAAGATGTTTAACTCCACCAGTAACTAGAGAAATGAAAACTAGGAGAACAGTAAGTATATCCACCAGAGAAACAAAAATTAAGTATTCTGACAATATCAAGAATTGGCAAGGACAAGAGTGGCCAGCTCACAGGAAGGAACTCTAATACCCCTCAAGCGAGAGTTCCATAGTAGAACCCATCCAGGAAGCAAGTGGACATTATCTTGAAAGTTTAACAGACACACACCCAACAATGCAACAATTATACTCGTTCGGAAACACCCTGGAGAAATTCTTGCCCATGGGTAACTGCATAAATGTACGTGAAGGTTCCAGGCAAAACTATTCTTAACAGCAAACATTAGAAACAACCCAAGTGTCCATCCACAGCAAAAAGGCTACAGAGAGAGATATTTAAATAATGAACCATTATACAATGAGATATGATAGATTAGATGAATCTTCGAAAATAATGTAGAGAGAAAAAACTCAAGCTGCAGAGACTAGACTACACACAGAATGATACAGCTCCAAAAGATGAAAACTAAATAATATGTGATTTTCTTAGTATTACATGACATGTATCAGACTTATGAAGAATCATAAACATGCAAGTCAGGAGAGGGGCAGGCCATCCATCTCCTGGGTAGGGGCTGCAAGTGAGGGAACAGAACATAGAAGCAGCTTCAGCACCATCAGTCAGGTTCGAGTCTGTGGTCATGTATGCAGCTGGTCAGCACTGCTGGGTTCTAGTGCCTAAATCTGGCATGGATCATGAATATATACTATATATACACATATGTTTTACATATATTCTTTTGTGTGTATCAATATTACACAATAAAAATATTTAAAGAACAAGTAGTGATTCTTTTCGGCAATTACGTCCACACGGGCCAAACTCACCAGGAACCGGCCACCCCCACCTTGCTTCTGGGTAAAGCCCTCAACTGCACCCACTGTCCTGTTAGTACAGTGTACATCACCACTTCCACCAAAGGAGACTCTGTGGGCATAGATTTCCAGGCCGCGGCCCTTACCTCAGTCACCTTGGCCTGAAGTATCAGTGCTTCGGGGCTCATTCGAGGGATGTCTATGCGGATCTGGAGATGCAGGAGAAAGACACAAGTATTTTAAATGACAAACGTTATCACCAGCATTATGATTAAAACAGCACGAACTTAATGACAAACTTACTCTGCCTTCTAATCTGCTCGCTCTTTCTCAAGATACTCATTCTCTACGTTACCAAGTCCTCTGGAGGAGGAGGTATCCAAGAGCATGTTCCAACTGAGCAAGGTTCGCCCAGCCCTAGGATGACAGGCTTGACACTTCCCCAACCACGCAGTGGTGCTGCATGATTAGGAGCAGAGCAGGCCCTCCGTTATTTAGTAATATAATCCATAGCAATTAGTAAACATTGATTTTCAGCCTCTGACACAGAGAGCAATTCAAGTACATCAATAGTGTACAAGTTCTCAGCTGTGACAGCTTCTTCTTGGAATATTTTTCTCCACATTTTTCTCCATTTCACAAAGTCCTTGGGGAATCTAGGACACTTTTCATAAAAAGCACTGGAAAGTCTCTGCTGGTGTCAGCTGATTCGTGCATTGCCACCATCTGACACAAGAGCCATAATAAAGCTCCCGACGCTGCAGAGGAAACTTGTGGGCTCATGGAGCAACCAAACAAGAACATTTGAACTGACATCACAGGCTGGCTCCCAACGTCCCACAGGAACACCCCACACTCACTAGCACTGTCCTCACTCCTGCATATCCAGGCTGCAGCCCAAACAGGTGAGAGAGGATGTGTACATGTTAGTGCCAAGGGGGACCCTACCTCTTGTTTCATTCCCCAACATCCTCACACATGCCCACAGAGGATTCTGACACCCAGGAAACTGGGTCAATCTTCTCACTCTGCCACTTATTAGTACCGTGGCCTTAGGCAATTCCCTTAGGCTCTGGGGTTCAGCTTCCTCACCTATAAAATGCCTGCTCTGCATCCTTCAAAAGGTGACTGGTAAAGATCACATAAGGCCGTGGGCCAACAGCCTAATGGAATAAGCTGAGGTGCACATGCAACTGCGAGCATGTTGAAGGAGACCTACACACAGAGGTGAGGAGGACGAGGAGGAGGAGGAGGAGGAAGAGGAGGCAGCAGCAACCCTCCATCCAGACTTCCAGGTCAGAGGACTCCAGCCAGCCACATGCAGGAGCCCAGGTGCAGGCAGGGACGAGGGCCACCAGGTCTACTACCAGGGCAGTCTGACAGGCCAACCTCAGAGCACTTCTTCCAGCAGTTACATTCGTCTGTCCCCAGCATGAGCACTGTAAGCTCCTGTGGGGCACAAGTGGGTCTGATCCACCTCTGCATGCCCAGGGCCAGCACAGCCCACCTTACACAAGGGCTGCCTGTCATGCGTTTATTAAGCAGACAGCACAGAGCACACATCACAGCCCACACCCTGCCCCATCATCAGGAAGAGGCGATCCAGCATTAGAGAGGGGGGTACTCAGTAAGGCTGGGCGGATGGGGCTTGGTGAGCCCCTCCATTCCTCCCACCTGCCCCATCATGCACAGGATCAGGCAACTAGGGCAAAGGCCAAGATGGTCTGTAGAACCGACCCAAAGACACACAAGATGAATCTCAGACCAACTACATGTGGCTTTGACATAACATCTTCAGCAAAAAATTAAAAAAGTAAACACTTGAAAATCAAATGAGGCTGGCTGGTCAGCTCAGTTGGTTAGAGTGATGCTGATGATACCAAGATCCAGGGTTTGATCCCTGTACCAGCCAGCTGCTAAAAAAAGGAAAAATAAAGAAAAAAGGAAATGAAGAAAGGACAAAAGACAAATGGGGGAAGACGCTGAGGCCACTGGGCTCCTGCTGCCTCTGCTGGTGTGGGCGGGCGGTGGTGCTGAACTCCTCAGGTCAGATGGTCAGTCAAAGGCAGCTGGCAAGTCAAACACACATGAATGGGCAGCAGAGAGAGACATTGGTCCCCAACCCCAAGTCGGGCCTGACTGCCCAAGAGGGCAATGACGAGAAGGGCACAGTCCCAGGGTTCACACTTGCTCTGCATCAAAGCCATCAGGCAGACAGAAAAGACAACCACATATTACATCACACGTTTCCCACTTATATTAATGTGAAAATATCTGGGAAATTCACAATAATATGGAATCTTTTTATTACCTATCACAGTAACTAAAAGATGTATGCAATCTGTTTCCAATTAACTTTCCCTACAGAAATTCACAATAGAATACTGCTTGGTAAATCTTGCAGATAAATACTAATGTCATCCACTGGAAGTCTTTCTCTAGAATAAAAATACATCAAAAACATGTTCAAAACAATACCAAATGCATCCATTTCCTAAAACCAGTGAGGTAGAAAAATAAACCAGGTAAGCTAATACTTCCCTAAACAAATCCAAATGCAGTCTGTATCTCCAATCAGTCTCCCAGAGTAACTGCGTGGCAGAGACAGTAACACCAATTAAGAATGACCATTTTCAACTTTCACATATTACAAAGAGTGAGAATTATAAAGTCCTCAAAGAGCTATTCTAACAGCGAAATCTGAATGCATTGTGAATTGTAAATCAATCTTAAGTATTTTTCCCATTACGCACATCATCTGTCAACTGACTGATCAAGAAGCCATAATTATGACCATTTTGTATTGAGCTAAGTCGCAAAATGATAAATTGGCTACACCTTGTGCCATGGACTGAACTGTGTCCCCCCAAATCGAGCTGATTAACACACCTTTAGTCTATCTATATCAAACCCCTAACAGCACCAAAGTGCAGAACACTCATCAAGCCCAGCATCTGTCGTGAGGCCATCTAGTTACATGCCTGGTCCTGGACCTTCAGAAACAGCCCTTTAATTGTATCACTGAGATACAAAACACCCACCACCTCCTGAGGCAGATCTCAGGGCACTGCTAACAGGACCTCAGGTACCTGTTTTGTAACTCCAATTAAAAACATCCTTTTTACGTTTGTAGGAGGAACTGGAGACAGCAAGGTATTACTATTAGAGGAAGTTTGCCATTATTCATTTTCAAATTTATTTATTTATTAGAAAATTAAAATCTGTGACATGCTAGATAAAACATTTCCTTTCACAAATCATCACCAAATTAGAGTACTTCAAGAACATCTGAAAAAGAAAAAGAGTTCCCACCTGTCTGTATGTATCCTGGTGAACTTCATCATTCCTAGAATCATAATAGTGCTCAATAAAAGCAAAATATTCTTTTTGTTTTCTCTGGAGAGTGGCTGGTCTTCGGTCAACGTTGGCAGGAAGGTAACCCTGAGTGGGAAAAAAACAAACAAAAAAACCCAAAATATATGGTTACTGCTAACAAAGTGCCTCTACTAGAATTGTGAAATGAACAGGATCACATTCTCAATGAGGTTGTGTTCTAAAATCTGATATAGGGGCAGCAGGAGCTGTGAAAGAAGAACAGGCATGAAGAAGTCAGCAAGCTGACCCACGCTGCAGGCCCCACCGGAACAGCATGTGAGATAGGTCTTATCCAAGGCATTTGCAGCCCTCCCTGAGCCAACCAACTTCACTCACAGTCAGACAAGAACCAGACTGCCATCTCTCCATCAGGCTGGCACTCGATCCTCTTCTAGAGTGGGACTGAGAAATGAAACATATACCAGGAAGGATTCAGATGTCTGTATAGTCTTAAGACAACAACCACACACATATGTACAGACATACACACATATGTGCATATGTATGTGTGCGTGTCTAATACACACATGTACGCACACATATACTCATACAGGTGTATGCACAAAGCTGTCACTTCTGCAAACTTGCTATCTCCAAAGACTCATGGGCTCTTGGCAGCTGCAGTCCCAATACATAAAGTGGACTCAAATTCAGAAAGGGCCAGGCAGCACAGTTGGCCACAAAGAGGCCAGACTCCAGGACCAGACTGCCTGATGATTTATATGGTTCTGTGTTTCCTTATTTCTACTTTTTAAACTAACATCGCTGACTTATGATTTTTATAATTTATAATTAAGTGCCCCCATTTTAAGTAAACAGTTCCATGGCATTTGACAAGGGTATCCAGCTGTGTAACTACTCCTCCAAGGAGGACACGGAGCACTCCCATCACCCTGTATGCTTCCCAGTGCCCCACCCCGGGCCTGTCCCAAACTGCCCAGAAACAGACTAGCTCAGGACCTACGCTCCTGTGCAAGGCTTCCTGCACTCGGCACAGCGCCTTCTGAGACTTGTCCAGGCCGCTGCATGAACCAGCAGCTGCGTCCTCTTTCTGGCCAGGAAGTGCTCCATGGTGGGGACATACCAGTTTGTTAAGCCACTCACTTGCTGATGAACATGTGGGTCATTTGCAGTTTGGGACTATCGCGAATAAAGCTTACTACAGAAACTCTTGCACAAGATTTGTCCTCTTTCTGGCCAGGAAGTGCTCCATGGTGGGGACATACCAGTTTGTTAAGCCACTCACTTGCTGATGAACATGTGAGTCATTTGCAGTTTGGGACTATCGCGAATAAAGCTTACTACAGAAACTCTTGCACAAGATTTTTGTGGAAATATGCTATGATTTCTCATGGTTAAATGCCTAGAAGTAGAGTTACTAGGTCATAATGTAGGTGTATGTTTAGTTTTCTAAAAAACTGCCAGATCTTTTTCCAAAAATATATGAAAATCTCAGATGTTCCATACCTTCTCCAACACTTGGTATTGTGAATCTTTTAATTATTAGTCATCCTGTTGGGTGTGGTTCTAATTTCAATTCCCTAAAGATTAACGATGCTGAATATCTTGTCATGTGGCCACTATGTCTCCTCTCTGAGGTATCTGTTCAAATCTTCTGCCCATCTTTTAATCAAGTTGACCATCTCCTTATCACTGAGTTTTATAAGTCTATAAAACTCATATGAAAAGACATATGCATTCCAGATATGTCTTTTTTTTCAAATATATGAATTGAGATTATATTCCCCAGCCTGTGGCCTGACTTTTTATGTCTCAAGCAGCAGCTCTGAATTTTCATGAGGTCCAGTTGATAGTTTTTCTTTTATAGTTAGTGCTTCCTGTATCCTGTGTGAGGAAGACTTTCTCCATGTTTTTTTTCCTGGAAGCTTTGAACTTCACCTGGCAACCAGCTTCTCATCCCTCAAGTGTGTCTTCAATGGACACTTCTGCAGTGAGGTCTGACCAGACTCCTGTGGTGGGACTGGCCACTCGGAGCTCCAGCAGCAGCTGGCACGAAGCTCCCTCAGAGCCAGTGCCATACCATGCCTGCCACATGGCAGCATACGAGCTGTCATTGGGTGATCCCGTATGAACAAGTGAGTAGCTGAATGAATGAATATATCGCATGTGGTGCTTTTTGCCTTTTAAAGTGTTTCCACAGCTGTAGTAAGCATCACTGTTATCTGCTAAACACCTATTCATCCCTTATTCAAACAGAGCCCTGAAGATGCATTGAGAACCACATCTCCCTATTCTCAACCCTGCGTGGTCTGGGTGGGAATCCCCTTCCTTCAGGACAGCTACTGACTGAGCTGAGCGGCTACACCGTCCCACTGGTCACAGTGACTGACAAGTCCAGGGGTAGAGAGGTGACCCAATGCAGGCATAACACCCAAGCCCAGGGCTTTTGATGCTGCTGTGACTCAAAGAGAATGTGTGTGGTCTGGTGCTATGGCAGCTACCCCATGACCACAAGGGAGAAGCACCAGCTGCAAGTCCACCAAGGAAAGCCGACCTGAAGGAGAGTGGAGCCCTGAGAGTCGCCAGGCCTCGATGATGAAGCCGGAGGCAGAAGAACCCAGCCACGCCTTTTCAGCTGTGTTAGCACACACGTTCCTTCTCCTTAAAGCATGTGCACTAGCATCTCTCTCTACTGCAAATCACACACTCACACACATTTAACACATTTGCATCACACCATCTGAACTTCTTTTTAATAAACATGTATAGGAGTGTAACATATATACTCATATAAAAGCGTAACCAAAACTTGTATGTGAATTATCACAAACTGAACTCATCTGTGTAAATGCCACCAAGGTAAAAGCCAGACCACCGCTGCATATCAGGGTCCCAGGAGCCTCCCACTCCCTGTTCCTTACCTCCTCCTCACAGAAGTGGAATCATTTCTTCTGTCTGGCTACCTTCACTCAACGTTGCATATGAAGAACTAATTCATGTCATAAACGTGTACCAGTTTTCATTTTCACTGTTACATAACACTTCCACGCAGAAGATACATTCTACTGTTAACAAACATTTGGGTGGTTTCCACTTTTTGCTTTAAACACTCTTAGATCTGCCTTTTATGGTACATGATACACATTTTTACTAAGTTTGTGCCTGGGACTGGAAATACTAGGTACGCACACATTGGAGAGACTGTGCTAGAGAATTTTCGAAGTGAGTACACTCCACAAGTGTGTGAGAACCCCCGATGTTCCACGTCCTTGCCAGCACTGGCCCTGTCGAACCTCACACAGGCTGCTCTGATGGGCTTCCCATGGTACTCATCAGAGTGCAGGTTGAGTCTGCACTTCCCAGAAGACTGACGGGCGCAGCACACATCTGCGCCCATGAAGTGCGTAGGCAAGTGCCGTCCCCGTCCATCCGGTGGCCCGCCCTCTGCTTGCTGAGTCCTTAGCAGTCATGATGAAGTCTGCGTGTCAGCACACATCTGCGCCCATGAAGTGCGTAGGCAAGTGCCGTCCCCATCCATCCGGTGGCCCGCCCTCTGCTTGCTGAGTCCTTAGCAGTCATGATGAAGTCTGCGTGTGAGCCCTGTCACACATATCCTCTCCTCCTCCCTGCAGCTTGCCTTGTCACCCCATTAATGATGTCTTTTGATGAAGAGATGTTCCTAACTATATAGACCAATACATTAATCTTTTATGATTTGTCCTTTTCTGGAAAATTTCCTTTATCCAACATTCGATGCTGTTTCACTTTACGATCATGACCACATACCCGCTGTCATTAAGTATTGCTCTACAACAGGGTCGCTACAGCCCGCCACCTATTTTTGTAAAAATTTTGCTTGAACACAGCCAAGCCTGCATGCTCACACGCTGCGTACGCTACTTCCACACTGCAGAGACAGAGCTCAGTGGCTGCAGAAGAGACCACACAACCCATGGGAGAAGGCATTTACTATCTGGACCTTTATAGAAAAAGTTTGTTAACCCCTGCCCTGAAATATCAATCTTGAAGGTTACATAGCCTTCCATCATAGGCATGTATTTATTTTTAAATTTTCCCCTATTTCTGAGCATTCTGACTACTTCCAAACATCCAGTATTCTACAATAAGTGTCAGCTAACAATGTATGATCATTTCCCAAGGTAAAATTCCTGCAAGTGAACCGTTAGCTCCAAGGAACGCTGGAGACCTTCCATGTTCTTGATGCATCATTTTCCAGCAGCCCTGCCAAAAGGCCTAACAAGATACCATCTCCTCAGCCCTGTCACATACAGGGTGTCAAATGCCCTCCACTTTCACGACAGCGAGGAGGCACCTGGGTGGAGAACACCTCATTAAAAAGTGCTCGATGGGGGCCGGCCCGGTGGCGCACTGCTACAGTGCGCCGCTTGGGAGTGTGGCGGCGCTCCCGCC